AAGAAATAAATTTCGCGGGCCTTGACTAAGTGTGGGAAATCCCACACAAAAAACTTGATTTTTAGGGAATTTTTAATTATATGCACTGTGGTTATCCTACAGAAAAGACTAGGGTGCAAACTTGTTTGGATTAAAGGTGCTACAATGTTGTTTCGATCAGCCTTAAGAGCTACTTGTATCTTTTTCTCAAGAGATGTATTGACTATTTCGCTAACTTCCAAATTTTTACCTCTTAAGAACAAAGTTTTTCGGGAATTCCTCTCTCTTTCAAATATCGAAGTAGAGAAACAGATCCTTTTTATACCCCATAATGAAAATGAAATTGAGGGAAATACAACCAGGTCTCTCCAGCTTGGCTCTTCTTCCACTTCAGGGTCCTCTGGTGCAAGTTATGAGATGAAAACAAGGCGTACATTCTGAATTCTGAAAACTGAACAACAATCATTCGTTGTTGCCGATTTATCAAAAATATTAGAAGTTTTAAAGACGGAGATGAAGAACCTGCCTATCAGCTCGCAAATTATAGAAGAGATTTAGGTGAAGACAATCGTATTTTAAGGCTATCAGTAAATTTGGAAGAGCTCAGAGTTGTTATTAGCCAGTTTCGTTATCAATGACTCTTCCTCTATCGGTCTATCTTCTAGGCTCTAATAATGATTCTTTCAATTTTGCCTGTTTGTTGTAAAGTATTTTCGTATTTCATTGCCATTCCATTTTTGTTAGACTTTTGTTTCATGCAACAAGGCATTCCGCGTTGTAGGATATTCTGCCATTCCAGCGTTTCATCACTCCATCGAATAAGGTCACCCTGTTAAACTCGAGGTGTGGTATTTTGTAACTAGCTCGCAACACAAAATTAGCGGCTATTTTGGCCATTAGCCGCTAGTTGAAATAGTAATATGCTCTATCTTCCAATAAATAAAATTAATTTTCAAAGTTTCCACGATGTACAGATCAAACCTATTTAGATATATTATGCAAGGTAAGGTCTTGTTTTCAATGACTTGCTGAAGACATCAGTGTGAAATTATTTTGAGAAGTTTATCATCTTTTGCAGAATTGCGGCAAGAACTGAAGAAATTGTATCGTCGGATCTACTGGACATATCTCAGCAAGGAATAGCTTTGTTTTTTATGCGCCATCCTGATATGATTGTGAGACGTTTATTTTCTTCTGTAGTACTCTGAAACAAATAATAGGTTTCACCGGGAGACATCGGGTCAAAATTGGGTCGAGATCGGAATTCTATTGTTACCATCACTCACTCACTCATCTCGACGAGATATATGACTTTACCTCCTATGGGTAGCGGTAGCCACAAACACCAACAAGTGAAAATGCTTTAACTACACAAAATGGTCCCACAGGTAGCAAATGGTCTCTTTAGAAAGAATAGTCGAACTGCTTGAAATGGTCCAATCGCCTGAAGTGCATGTACTAAATAAATGGCGCAACTGCTTCAAACTGTTTTATTTTATGAAATGGTCATAGCCATGAAGGATCAATATAGTTTAAACAGATAAATGGTCCACTCGCTTAAAAAGGTCCAATTGATCAAAATAGTCTAACTAGATAAAATGGTCTGACTGCTTAAAACGGTCTTACCTAAAAAAAAAATGGTTTAACTGGTTAAAATACTTAAACTTAAAACCCAACTGGTGACCAACCCAACTGGTGACCAACCCAACTGGTGACCTTAACCTTATTAGATAAAATGGTCCAAGTGGTTAATGTGCTCTTCTTTCGTAGAACTTTCACACCACTGAGAATGGTCTAACTGCACCAGATTCATTGTCTCTTAGGAGCGCCAACATGGCGACCGCGACTTTTAAGCTCCATATCTTTTATCTAATATCTTACCATTTAGTTGCACATCTGCTATTTAATGGCTTCCAAATTATTTCTAATGGGGCCCTAGACTTTGCAGCGAAACTGGTGTCTCCAAGGAACGAGTCATTCCAAGCAAGTTATTCTTTTCGGTTTTCTTCACCGCTAGCTTTTATTACCAGATCTACTCTAGTAAGCCAAGGTCCAGAAGATGCTGTTCAAAATGGCTTAGGCACGAATAAACGATCCCTCAGCAATAAGGTCGATGAGCTGCAATATGTCGCGGAATGTAGCAATGCCGATGCTGTTTGTGTCTCAGAGTCATGGCTGTCGCCGCAAATTTCAGACTCTGCGGTGGCCATACCGGGGTATAACCTTTTTAGGAACGATCGTACGTCTGCGCCTGGTGGAGGGGTCTGTATTTATTTGAAACAAACCTTACCATGCACTCGATTATTTCAATGTGAGCAGCCAGATGTGGAATCTTTGTGGCTTTCTTTGAGGCCTCATAGCCTACTTAGATCGATCTCGTCAATAATCCTTTGTGTCGTTTACCATTCAACCGCTAACGGACAACTCGAGAACGTTGTTCTCTCCAATCACATCCGATTAAATTTAGACGGCTTGCTTATAAAACAACCTAATGCATTGGTGGTGATTGCCAGGGATTTTAACCCAACTTCGACGGGCCTCAAATTAAAGGACTTGACGCAATCAAACAATCTTAAACAGATCGTAAAATTTAACACCAGAGATACAGGAACCCTGGACTGGTTTCTTACGAATAGACCTGCCATTTTTCAGTTTTTTCAACTACCTAAGATAGCGAGGAGTGATCACGTTTCTTTTTTTTAGCAGAACTAATAACAAGTAGCACACAAACACAGGTAATTCAAAAGGTGAGGGTACGCGATTTGCGGGAAAGTGCGTGGCGTACGTTGGGTGCTGGCTCACTAACAAAAACTGGTTGCAGTTGTCTTCGGCAGAATCATGTATAGATAAGTTTCACTTCTTTATTACCGACCTAAAAAATTCAGTCGACACCTGTCTTCCCTGGAAAACGGTTAGAATTCATCCGACCGACAGGCCTTGGACAACGAAGAGAATAAAGATGCTAATTAAAAAGCGGCAGACTGCATTCATCCGTGACGGGAAAGACTCTGTCTCCTATAGGCTTTTGAGGAACAAAGTCCAGTGGGAAATAAGGTCGGCAAAATACGATTATTACCATCACAAAGTAAGTGACCTTGAACAGACGGATTCGAAAAAATGGTGGAGACAAATTAAGTTATCAACTGGCCAGGATATAGAACAGGAATGGTACCATCAGTTCTTAGGCGAAAACTGTCCAGATTTTAAGTCTCTAGCTAATGTGGTAAATGATTACTTTATTAGTTTGACATCGGACTTTGTTCCCTTGACCCCCCCTGGAGTAACCAATCAACAGGTTCCCCCAGACCTCCTAGTGAGTGTCAGGGAGGTGCATAACTCTTTATCAAGCTTAAATGTCGGGAAAGCAATTGGCCCTGATATGATACCGAACAGGTCTTAAAGGATTTTGCACCTGAACTCGCCCCGCTAATTATGGATATTTATAACTGCGCACTCAGGGAGGGCTGTGTTCCTGATCTGCTGAAGCGATCCATAATCAACCCCTTGCCCAAGGTTTCTTCACGTCAAGAAATTCAATCTGACTGACCTCTCTGACACGTACCCTTGCCAAAGTCATGGAAGGGTTTGCGCGCAGCAGGTTCGTGGCGCAAATTTTGGAAAAACGTGCACGTGATCCACGCCAGTACGCAAGGGAGGGGCACTCCACCATGGACGCCTTGATTTATATCTTACAGGCGATTCACGAAGCAACTGATTGTGGGAATTGTGGGGCTAGAATGTTCTTTACCGACTACTCAAAGGGTTTTGACCTGATTGACCATTCAATTCTTCTCAGGGAGTTGGCGTCTCTCGATATAGACATAGACACTGTCTTAATTAAGTGGATTAGTGCCTTCCTGACTGGCAGATCGCGAGCTGTAAGGATTGGTAACTCTCTGTCTGATTGGAAGTCACCCAGGAGAGGTATCCCACAAGGACGAAACTGGGTATGATTTTGTTTGCTGTAATGACCAACACTCTTTTGCGTGAATGGCATTTGAGGATTGAATTCGTTGATGATACCACGGCATTAGAAATCCTGCCAAGAAACGGTAATAGCTTACTAAATGTAGCTGTCAATGATATTCACAAGTTTTCTATCGAACATAATATGAAATTAAACCCGAAAAAATGCAAAGAAATGTTAATTAACTTCATGCAAAATAATAATTTTGCTCTAAGACCAATTGTCCTAGATAACAACACCGTTGAACGTGTAACAACTTATAAATTACTTGGTATTATAATCAGTAATGATTTAAAGCGGAACGAGCATATTCATTACTTATCGAAAAAAGCTTCGAAACGCCTGTGTTCCCTGGGGATTCATAAAAAAGTGGTTGTTGATAGAGAGGGAATTGTCAAAGTTTATTTGACAACAATAACACCTATACTAGAATATGGCGTACAAGTCTGGCAGGATATTCCTGAACTTCTTTCAAATAAGCTGGAGTCAATTCAAAAAAGGGCACTACATATTATCTATCCATGCCATAGTTACTTAGATACCCTTAATACTACCAACATTAGCAGCTTGAAAGAAAGACGAACTCAGCTCTGCCACATAAATGACCTTGCAAA